GCTATTGAGCAATCGTCTAGCGTGGCTGGCCTCGGCCAGAAACAAGCTGCCATACATAGTCTGCTCCTCGTACTCTAGGGCTACCTAGGGGAGGACAGGAGGAGTACGTGGTGGGATCCTCTGTGCAGTTGAGTCACTTACATGTGGACCATAGTAAAATGGGACCCACATATCAGTGACTCAACTGCATATGCAGTAAGTCAGAAGATCTGCTTTCGGAGGAGTACTAGCAGCAGCTATAGGCCACCTCCCCCCACCCATCCAAAAAAATAAAAATAAAATCGGCCGTATCTACAGGTACTGCTAGTCTACTACTACTCCAACTAGTTCCATGCATATACAGACTAGTATCCATACTCTACCAGCTTGTTAGTAGTAGTATGTTCTCTCTCTTTTTTTTTTCTTTTTTCCCAATTAGTTTCATACCCTTAACTTTAGTCTAGATTTACAAATTAATTAGTATTTCCTCCGTTTCATATTATAAGACTTTCTAGCATTGTCCATATTCTATAGATGTTAATTAATCTAGACATAACATCTATATGAATATGGACAATGCTAGAAAGTTCTAGACATAACATCTATATGAATATGGACAATGCTAGAAAGTCTTATAATATAAAACGGAGGGAGTACTGCTTAATTAATTGCACATGCATAGAATTTCCCGTTCCTCTACTTGAATCTTCGTGTACCTCCCCAAACGGAGACAACCATTATTATTATTATTATTACTAGGTGATTCCCCGTGCTTTACTGCAGGAATTACTAACCATTTCTCAATATATTTTTTCAACAATCAAGCTAGAAGTAAAAAGGAAAAAAATAAATATTAGGGTTTTTCCATACATATCATGAAACAAACAAATGATACCCGTTCTTTAATGTGAAGCATATTGATAATTATATGTTAAATATTATAGAAATAAAAAATAAATTTGTTAAAATATTGTGCAAATGATATGAGGGGTGATGATTGGATATACTTGCATGTTAATTTGTAGAATTGAATAAATTGTAGATGATGTTGTATGCTTGCATGAGGTTAAATATGTAATTATTGCTAGTAGATGATGATGTGGCATGGTTGCATGTTGAGCTTTAGAGATGATTGGGTATGCTTGCATGTTGATTTGTAGAATTGAATAAATTGTAGATGATGTATGTTTGCATGAGGTTAAATATGTAATTATTGCTAGTGGGTTATGATGTGGCATGGTTGCATGTTAAGCTTTGGACTTAGCGGGCTATAGCTTTATAGAAAGTGTTATAAAACCAGCCCCGAAATTAACATCGGTAGCTAAACGTGGAAGAAGCGCCATAGGAGATCCAAACACAATGACGACACCGAGGCACGATATTTGGTAATGGAGTTCAACCAAGGCCTACATCTCTGGGGCACTGGTTACGAGCGCTCCTCCCCGATCAGCATATACAACGTATCAGAGTTACAATGACTCACGGCTGGACGCTGCCAGCAGCCGCTCCCTCTCGCTATACTAAGTCGCCATGCGGTTACAATAGGCACCCCTCTCTATTTAAGAGAGACCCTAGGAGAGAGTCCGACTCTTACTCTAGTCCTAATACCTATTACAACTCCAAGTCCTAAACTGTAGCTGACTTTGTACACATATTCGACACAAACTCTAACAAACTCCACCTTGGCGAATATGCCATGCCAACCTGAATTTGTTCCTTGCGCGAACCTCCGTGTACCCGGACTTGAGTCGATCCTTTTTCGCCACTCACGCATTTCTACCCCGACAAGCCTCTACCAGGCTCACCGTAAACAAGAGACTTCACTATCCTTGCGATTTCTTCCTTTTGACTCCACCTGCAACAGTGCTCCACCTTCTCTCGTATCACCACAGTTGTCTTGCCAAGCGAAATTGAATTCCTTCCTAGCTTTCACATCATAGACTTCTTAAAGACCATGTTCAACTCCATCTACCGTCTTAAATTTGACTTGATCTAATCCATGGCCAGATAACCCACGTCACCACCAAATAGATAAATCAAACTCACCAGACTTGAAGAGAACCCTTTCTTCCTTGTCGTCTTATGAACCGAGCTAATAAATCTAACATCCATGCTTTCCCGCATCCGTAGACTGAATTCCTAATAATCTGGGAAAATCACCGTTGCTTTGAATCATCCGAAGAAATTACCACCATAGCGCTCACTCTTCCTCTTCAGCGACGCATATTTCATATATCCCCATCATGCAAACCCCACAGATCCTGGATATATCCTGTACTGCCAAACAGTCCGTTGATACCCTTAACGTTTTCACCCGTTGTTGTCCAGGATTTTTCCTTCACACACCTTTGCCACACTCCTGCCCCACCACAGCCTTGCCTTCGAATCATAATGCAGAAGCCCTGATGCACAGTTATTTTTGTTGTCAATCCATGATCTCAATCTAGCCCTAGACGAAATGTCCATGTGAGTGATCAACTCGGCTTGGTGAACGAGTCCCATTGAAATACGTGTCCAATCCCAGCCACCTAGCCTCCGTGCTGATCTCCACGTCCATCACGACTCCAAGTTGAGAAGCAACTCCGCAACCGAATCGACCTCCAACAGCTACACAAACTGTACATCATCCGCGACCCTGATTCGATCCGATACCAAGAACTTGCTGCTCCATGCATGGACCTAAGCACAATGGGCCTCCCTGCCGCGCGCATGCACCTATGGATCATTACATGCATTTAACTAATGTACCAGCATGCATGCATGCAAAATTAGTTAACCATGCATCGCTAATCATGCATGACAGCATATCACCGTGCCATCCAATTGTGCTTCTGGCCTCCTCTGTGTGCTGCTCCTTTGCGTGCCGTCGCCGCCTCCGCTGACCGGAGCCGGCCCGCGCCGAATACTGTCAGCACCTACACAACAACCACACCATGCCGTGTTCCTGCTGTCCGGATTTCGTCACCAATAAATCCGCTCTGACCTCCGATTGACCACCGTCAATCTAGTTGCAAGCGGAAGCCGACAAATCGCATGTCGTCTTTCCAGTCGCCGAATGACCCGAGCGTTACGTCTAGCCGTCTCCCTGTCGAACACAACTCATCGAAAGACCCGGGCCAGCCCTCCCGGAGTGTTCGATTCCACCGACCGAGAACGTCGATTGCCTCCAGCTTCAATCAACCCCGAGCGTGTGGCCACATGTCTCCCTGTTGAGAGTAGCTCACCGGAAAGTTCGAGCCACCCGCCCGAAGTGTCCGACCCACAGATTGGTTCACCAATCGCTTCCGCCGCCATCAACCCGAGCACCACATCTGGTCGTCTCCTTGTTGAAAGCAACCATCAAACTGTTCAGACTGCCGTCTGAAGTATCCGATTCCATCGATCAAATTCCGTTGATCGCCACCATGTTCCACCTAGCGTCCATGTCCGTTTCTTGACACCCTGTGTAGTTGTCGCAGCATGGAGCACCTCACTCGTACCTCTACCATGGATCTCCCGCATGCTTTGATACCACTTGTTATAAAACCAACCCCGAAATTGACATCAGTAGCTAAACGCAGAAGAAATGCCATAGGAGATCCAAACACAATGACGACACCAAGACACGATATTTGGCACGGAGTTCAGCTGAGGCCTACATCTCCGGGGCACTGATTACGGGCGCTCCTCCCTGATTAGCATATATAACATATCAGAGTTACAACGACTCACGGCCAGACGCCGCCGGCAGCCGCTCCCTCTCGCTATGTTAAGTCGCCATGCGGTTATAACAGGCACACCTCTGTATTTAAGAGAGAGATCCTAGGATAGAGTCCGACTCATACTTTAGTCCTAATACCTATTACAACTCCAAGTCCTAAATTGTAACCGACTTTATACATATAACCGACACAAACTCTTACAGAAAGTATAGATTGCGTGGTGATAGATTCAGGCATCTCTCCAAATTTACTATGGTAGGTTTATATCTCATCCTAAGCTTAGGTTGATTTATTTTGAAACCGAGAGAGAGTAGACTATATATATATGCATGGAAATTAAAAAGAAATGCCATGTGTACTTAGAACAAGTACATTCAATTTTCTCCCTCGTTCGACCGCCATGTTTTCAAACATGGATCTCACAACCTAAATCGGAATTTCTAACCTGCATAAAGATGACGCAAATTCCAGTAACCCTCCCGATCGAAATAAAATAAAATACAGGGTTTGACAATATTTATCACACCTCGCTTCAATTGTAGATATATATTTGATGTTTACGATAAGACTTGTTCAAATTTTTGGAGCTTAATTTTACCATTACTTTTATATTAGAAAAAGTTCCGTATTACCCTTAGACTTTCTTTCTCTACTCCTTGGTCTGCTCTTTTTTCTTGGTGTCAGTAGTTGTTATGCAATTCTTTTTTCTCGATGATGTGATTTTTGTTCTGTCAGATAGTTTTTGTATGAAATAACATTGGTTAATTTGAGGGAGGAGGATGAAGATAGATACACTGTGTCACTGCTGAATATCATTCCAATTCTGACTCGTCCCAAAATTTGCACTTCATCTCTTTTTGCAGCTCTTGTTTATTATCTTGTTATATTTCGTGGAATTTTGCATGCTGTTCTCCTCTTTCATTTCTTCTTTGGTGATTTCCAAACTAACAACTTGAATCGATACTAAACTGACGCCCAGTCATGAGGATCCGTGCATGCAGTGTCTAGGGACACTGCTGAATGTCGTTCCAATTCTGACTCCTCCCAAAATTTGTTTATTTCAGTATCTTGTTGATTTATTTCGTGGAATCATGCATGTTGTCCTCCTCTTTCCTTTCATCTTTGCTGATTAATCTTTCAGTATCCAAATTAATCAGGATTTGCTCAGCAGAAAGAAACCAATTAGCTCTTGCCTCTTGAAGCCTATGTGAAAGCTCATGTAATTTTGCAGTTGCAAAAATGTACAACTTTCAGGTGACAAAAAATGGCATAGGGATGTACAAAATAAACATTAAGAGGAAAAGGTTTCGTGTTTAGAACTTTAAAACCAAGCAATCAAAAACATTTTCTTCCTCGAAGATCCAACAACAAAGCTCTGCATCAAGAAACATTCCATTGGTTGACAGAAACAAAATTAAGCTAGATAAGCACTGATTCCACGCACAATTTACATGATCATTACATCGTCCATCACACAGGCACTCATGCATCGATTACACATAGGAGTATTGATTCGTGTGACTAGCTTAATGAATTTGATTAGCCGATGATCTGGTCCAGGACGCCGATGTTCTTGAGGCCGAGGACGACGCCGACGCCCATGATGTGGCCGACGGCGCCGCAGGCCAGCGTGTCGGCGAGCGTGAACCCGGCGGGGTCGCCGGTCTGCAGGCCGGAGTCGCGCGCCTCCAGCTTCAGCCCCGCCGTCGACTTCCTGTTCGCCGACGGCGCCAGCCCGAACCTCCCCGCGAACAGCATCAGCGTCGTCGTCGTCACCATGATCTGCATCGCCCCCCCAAATAAATTGCCCATCACATTCCATTCACATCAAGCCTAATCACGTCGTTGAATTCAGCTAATTAACCACACTGATAAATTAATTCAGTGTGTGTGTTCTTACAACGTTGGTGGCTGAGCCGATGTAGTCGCACCGGATGCCCTGGGACCTCTTCTTGCTCATCCTCAACGATGGCAGCGTCACCTGTGATTAATCAAGAACCAGGGACAATTAGGAATGTGTAATTGTATGCATCTCTAGTTATACTTTTCGTTACAAAGGAAAATAATTTGATAGCATTGGATCATAGAAGGAACTGACCATGGACCTAGGAGAGGAGTAGGTCCGGAGGCCATGGAACTGCGGCACGGATGTGGCGGCGGAGAGCTGGGAAGCCATGGCTGGAGCCTACCTTCTCCTTCTCCTTGCAGCTGAGTTTCGAGGAAAAAAATAATGTCAAGTGCCACCATGGAGATGCATTGGGCTTTAATTCTTGGAGGAGATGTGGAATGGGAGCCACAAGGGGAGCTTGTGGACTGCAGTGGCCACTCATGGATAGGTTACAGATCCTTGCTGCTGATGTGGCATCTCCTGGTTAGAGCCTGCCAATGTGGATAAGATGCTCACCTCTGCATGCAATGTTCTTGGATGCAGCTGCAAATGTTGTTGGTGGTGACTTGATGCATGTTCTGTCAAAAAAATTGACAGGCATATATAGTGAGCAAGAGAATGGGAAAGAGGAATTATGTGGAGCAGTAAAAAAAAATGGAAATCTTGGTATTTTTTCAACCGCAGAAAAATGAGTAAATGAACCTGGATTTACTGTCCCTGTAGGCTGGAATAAGTGCAAGAGAATGGGAAATAGGAATTATGTGGAGCAGTAAGAAAAATGGAAATCTTGGTATTTTTCAACCACAGAAAAATGAGTAAATGAACCTGGATTTACTGTTCCTGTAGGCTGGAATGAGTTGCTTGCATCGACACTGAAGTGGATGTGCCACTTTACCAGTTGCTCCTTTGCTGGTGCTATGCCGAGTCATGAACTGAAATAATCAAGAACTTGAAGCCCATTGCTTGCAATTGCAGAAATGGATTTTGCAATGTGAAACAACGTGGCGACGCATCTTACTGCTGTAAGCCTACACCACGATGAGATTACCTCACAACGCGCAAAGAATTAAAATAGAATGGACACTTCAATAACCATCACTCGTACATATTTCCATTTCGAATTTTGTATATGAAACCAACGATGACGAGCCAAAAAAAACAGAAAATCTTCCCAATCAATCATATAGCCTAATATGAGAATTGCATACACAACTTGTATATTAATGCAACACCATATCACCAACCCTCCCTTTCCTATGTACATTTCATGAGTATGGAAAACCAGGGTCAGAAGAGCAACCCGCTCCTGATTTGAGAAAAAGAAAAACTTTAACACACTCAACCACACCCATACACAAAAGCTGCCACGCTCCAAATCCTATAAATATTACACATCCTCCAAACTAAACAACTTGAATCGATACTGAACAACCTTTTCTAATCGGTTTCATACTGTAAGTTATATCAGGTTGGCAACTCGATCTTCATGCTTCTATCTTGAGGAGTGAGTTGAGAGATGTGCTGTTGAACTTTTGAGCAAGACCTCTAATCACCAGAATGATGACGTCTCGCATGTGCCGAGTTTGCACCATCAAGTCAACTTCGCTCTCACCATCAACAACAATCTTGAAGCGGTGCTGATCGTTGCGATATAGCTCAACCTGAAAGATTCAATGAACAGTTAGCTTTAGTTATAAATTTGCGTAGGACAGGGATTATACATTCTAAAATGAACATTTTATTTTCCAAGTTCATGCAAGAATTTACATGGAAGGGTGGAACATATGTTCCTCGCACTTCTGTAGTTGGGAATGATGCCTTGGATCCAGGCTTTACAACTTTGATCCTCTTCCTATTCACTTCTAAAATTCTTCGCTCCAAATGTCCCATCACTTGTGCCTGTTAAATTGTTTGTTTTTCCAAAAAAAGAAAAGAAAAGAATGTAACTTGTAGATTGCAACGCTTATTATCCTGGTGAATTGTGATTTAAAAAATATATTACATGTAGGAGGAAATACCTTTTTTGGTGTTCTGTCCTTGTCACACAAAACCTGTTCAATGCAAATTTTATGCACTTGTTACTAAACAAAGTATTAATTGTTGCAATGATAACAATAAAAAAAACATTACTGTGAAGGTAGCCCATTTCTTTAGATAATAAAGATAGCCCAAGTAGAAATGTAATTATGCTTGAGACAGTTACTATTGACTGAAATAATCACTCTGCTGCAGAATTGCTCAGCACTCAAATTTGGAAACATTAGCTGTGCAAATAGGAAACAAGTATGCTCTCCATAGTTTGACGAATAAGAGGCCCAGCTATCCATGACAGTGAGACAGTCCAGTAGTCTAATACTACCAAAAAGGAACTAACATCAGTATTGAAATGAATATTACCTCAAACTTGACAGATCCATCATCAAGCTTCTGCTTCACCTCCTTGTAAATTTCAGGCTCTGCATAAGAAAAAACCAAGCAGTTAATAGACCAGGCTGACAACCTTAAGTAATGCTCTGAAGATTAAACTTAATAGTGAATAAATATAACTATCGCAGAAAGTAAACTGAGGCTAGAAGAAACTGTTTAGCTAACCGCTGCCGGATCACCAAAAGGATAAAAAACTGAGATGATGATAATAATAAATGTTAGTAGGCGACAAGATAGGTGAATGGACTATACCAACTGCAATTGGCTCCGTTGAAGCAGAGATAGGTTGTCCCTCAACTCCATCCTCTCTCACAGGTGTATAAATGATAACAAGTCTATAACCTACATCATCAACATTGGCTTCATATGTTCTTCCAATTTCGCCTGCACAAGAAGTTAATTGCAATATAAGAATATAAGTACCAAGAATTGAAGCAAAAATAAGTGGGCATCATCTTGTGCCCATTAGGATTTAAAAGTGGTAAATATTATATCATTTAAAAAAAATGTAGAATTCAAATAATCATACCAGGTATAGAGATAAGATCTGGGCTTCCAACCATAGACCTGAGCCATTGGATTTTGCTCTTGCCTTCTTTGCCTCCAGAATAGGTACCCCGAACAGCATACAGGTTAGTGTGGAAACCTCTTCCTTCAATCTCCAGTTTTTCAATTTTAGGTTTTCCTGTTAAAATCAAACATCACGCTTCAGTGGTATTGCAAATTTTAATGATTTGCATGAGGATGGATATCAGTACGGTCATCAAGCAAACTTGGCAATAGAGATTAATCCAACTAGCCAAGCCTCTTTTAGTAGTATATACACAAGAAGTTCAATGAAGATGACAGAAGTACACACTTATGCACCAATTGAACTAATACAACATGATGCATCCAAACCCCAACTGCAAAGAGGGAGTCAAGATGCAGAAGTGCAAGCCTATGGACTGATCCTCTACAGGCCTATCCATTTTGAAATAAATAATGAATATTTTGCTCAACTAAAATATCCATCAGTTTCACAAAGTTACAATACGCATGCTGATTTAATCAATAAGACATAAGCGGTAGACAACCAACCTGGTAAGATCGGAGCAGTCACAATGGATATCAATTCGCTGGATCGTCCAAATACATCAGAGACTGAGCATTCACATTTCAGGCATCGGCCAATATCTTCGAAACGTACTTTGTATGAGCGAGAGCACTGGTTAGCCAGTGGCTCAAAAGTCTGATCCACTTCAGATCCACTGGAAGCAAACCTGCATCCAGAGATCCACAGCAAGTGTTATATGCCATATTGAACAATGTGACAAAGTCATGACTCACGACATACACCTCTTTGCATTACCATTGATATGTTATCTCTTTCTTGTAGTTACTCCATAGATGTTGTTGAACTGCAGTGCTTGGAATTTGTTCAAGAACAGTCAGTGTCTCTCTCTCAACCTGATTTCCCTTGAAAGAGAGTGCTTCGATTTTAAGTCGTTCTGGAAAGAAAAGGAGAATTAATACATGTAGTTGCATGGAAAATGTGAACATAGAACAGTATGTAATAGGTTCAGATATTAAAATTACCAGGGAGAATTATATCAGATGGCTCAGAGAGCCTTTCTTCTCCAATGATCCCATCAGAACGAACGGGAATGTACCTATCAAGAATTACAAAATATCATATTCCACAAATGGAAGCCTGATCGGTTATGCAGTAACACAATGTAACCAAGTCATTTTAAATGTGAGCAAGACCAGTTCAAAATAGAAAAATTAAAGTGCCTTACCCAAACAGTAGACGGCGGCTATAATCTGCATCTGTCACTTCATATATAATTAAATCAGCACCATCTATACAATGCCTGGTTCCATCACTAGATTCCCTGTACCACTTATACAAGCTTGACCCCTCATATCCACCATAATAGACTCCTGTTCCGCTATACAACAATGAACTTTTCTGCTTCAAGTGAACATCCGAAACAGATGGAAATGCTGCAAGGTTGGTAAAGGACTGAGGATGTGCAGGCAGTAGTAGTAAACACACAACACTGGCAAGGAAAAGATCAATGGGCAACCTGCCATGACAGGGTCACTGGTAACAGCCACCAACGGGTCACCGATCTCTCCATCATATCGTGCAGGAACCCAGTGAAGAATCAAGTAGAAACCAACATCATCTAACGAAGGTTTGTACATCCTGACAGCATTCCATTAGATCAAAGAGGATTAGTTCTTAACCTAAACCATTCAAAAGTAACAAGCTTGATGAAATCAGTAGGAGAACGCACAAATTTACTCCAACTTCAGAACATGAAGCCACCAGATCAGCCTCCAAGTTGTCAAGCTTCTCTTTAGTTCGGTACCATGTATATTTTCCAGTGCCTTCCTTACCACCAAAGTAGGTTTTGATTGGAGAAATTTCATTGTCTTGAAAACACTCTGGTAGAACAAGATCAACACCCTTGGGGTCCCCTGTGCCAATGATGGACCAACAAATAATTAATGACATCGATTATAATAATATTATTAAATTATGGATGAAATATGCCCAAAACTTTTTTTTTTTGAACTAGAGCCAGAAGGCTCCCATTTCTTTTACTAGAAATGATAGGCTAGTAACAGCAGTCTTTACAAAAGCAAAGAGAAAAGATTAGAAACTAAACATGAGGGTCACTCCAGAATCTGCCGGCCCTAGTTCAGAAGATTCCACAAACGAAATGCTACCCCTGGACCATTACAGGCTTGTCAAAACAAAACTAGGACCCGCAACAGCAAACATAAGCAGGCATCCATGCTTATGTTTAGTTCTGGTCCTAGCACAAAAAACTAGGACCCGCAACAGCACACTTATGCTTATGCTGAAATATGCCCAAAACTATATTCATCTTATCTGCTTTGGTGGACAAGATACATACTGACATAAAATATTCAGGTCCTAGCGCAAAAATATAACATTCTGAGGAAAACTAACCAGGTAGAATTGTATCCGATAGAACACTCTTAGGTGACCCTTGTGATCCATCATCTCGTACAGGTGTGAATATAAGCTCAATGCGCGAATCAACATCGTCTAGAGTAAGATCTAGACATTCTATTAAGATACAAACAATCAACCATTAGTTTGCTATGCAAAGAGAAAAGAACAAACAAACATTGCAGCTGTGTGTGAAAGATAGATACTATACGCATGCCATGAAAGAATGCTTAATGTAAACTAACCATCAGTAGACAATTTCTCTTTGCTGCCATCAGAATGTAATCTGAACCATTCTTGGATGCAGTCTCCCTTGAAACTAGAATGATAAGAAAGAAAAAAAAATAATGTCATCAAATGTGCGGCATTAGACATAATCTAAAACGGAGGTAATGTATCTCACCCTCCTGTATACTCAGCATGAAAGGTCAAACAGCCACCTTCAACCATAGGGCCAGCTAACTCAAGAGATAAGCATGTAGGTGGTCCTGTAAACAGGTAAATTACGAAAATGTTAGTCCTCCGTTTAGTCCACTTATTGTTTTTCAAATTAAGAACAAACGCTGAACCACACAACCAAATAAGAACACTTATTTGCCAAAGTGGTCAAGTTATCAGTTTATCTACCAGGTAAGATAGGACCAGACTCTTCTGTTGACACCAAAGAACCATGAACTCCATCACTTCTAACAGGCTCACACAAGACAGATATGTAAAAGCCAATATCATTACAGTTCAAGGTGTATGATGAACTTGCAGCCCCTTCAATTTGTTTTTGTGATCCATCTGAACTAGTCTGTGGACACAAAAAAAGTTTATAAGGATGTAGCTGGTAACTTGGTACATCCAGGCAGTTACAAATCACTGTGCCATTGTTACGTGAAAGGGAAGAGTAGTGTTTTAATAAGAGGAACCTACCAATATCCAACGGAATATGGTCTCCCCTTCTTCTCCTCCCCAATATCTTCTGCTGGCAACCATTGTGGTCCCCTCAATGGCCTCACCAGTTAGTTCAAGAGAAAGTATTGTTGGCCTTCCTGTTAACAGTTAGTGAAATTGAAATTAAATATGATATATTTTATTTCAATCAGCAGGCATCTAGAATATGTCATAACCACAAGCATCTAGGACATGTCATAACCACAAACAAAGAAAATAAATCCAGCAATAAAATGGGCAGCTAGACCACAAAAGAGAGTTAAAAGGTGTACTTGAATTATTATTTTTTAAAAAAAATACATCTTTGTAACCTCATGGTTCGTATTACATGAGTATATGAATTATTCAGACAGAATCCTCATTTATCTGTTCATTTTCCCAGACAGCCAGTAAACAAACATCTACAGTCTTTCAGTTAAGGAAGAAAGAAATATATAACTGTCAAGGTTGTTCAGGCAAAAAGAGAAAACAAAACACCTGGTGTGACTCTGTCCTTTCCTGTGAAAACTCTTGGCTCACCAAGTATACCATCATTCCTAATAGGTACGCATTTGAAAGAAAGGAACTTTCCAACAGCTTCCTTTGTAACTTGGTATTGTAGCAGACCTGATGCCTCTGAAACCAGACTGCCTTCATCATCCTCAGTCTGCAAAACTTTATGCCAGTTAAGAACCAGTGTGACATAAAGAACACAAAGTGCTACTGAGTAAAACTAGCGATCAGAATTTGGCATTCTTTTTCTCCTTTCTATAATACAAAGAAACACAGCTCTCTTGCGTTCTAGAGAAAAGAAAAATGAATTCGGCAATTCACTAATTATTATAAATCTCCACTTATGCAAAAGCATAATATGTACAGTGAGTGTTATATTGCTATTTACTGGGTATCCAGGATTTAATTTAGAAACAAGACAAATATGGCTTGTACCTCATGAAGATGCCAACTAAATAAACTATTGCCTTCATGTCCCCCAATGTAACCATATGATGCTGTCAACATTTGGCCCTCTGAGAATTCACCAGTGACTGTCAAAAAATTCAGGCTGGGTGGTAGCACTGAAAAAGAGGACACAAGTAATTGAAGTTGGTAAAAGACTGGACAGATGAATGCAAAGCAAGAACTTCTTTAGCTCAAAAGCTTTATGGTTAACCAAAATAGACTTACTTTCCACAACATCAGCAGACACAGCATAGGCTGGTTCACCAGTTTCACCATCAGGTGCCATGGGGGTAAACTTTGCAACAATATAATATCCAACAGCACTGAGAGGAATGCGGAATGTCTATTGCAAAATCAAAAGGAGAATTGTTCAGCCATATTATCATGACACAAATACACCAAATAAAAAGTAGGTAGATTTATCAGTAATAGAGAGCAAAACTTATCATACCTTAGAAACTTTAGATGTAGTGAGGACTCTGAGTTCATTCTCATTTAAAAATTTGGATGAAGATCCTATGAACCATTGAACCCTGCTGAACCCTTCAGTGCCACCTTTGACAGTAGCAGTAGCAGACACCTTGCTTCCTTCTCTTGCTTCCCCAACTATCTTCAAATCCAAGACTTTTGGAGGTGCTGATAAAAAAGTTAAAGCAAAGTGGTAACATTTCTATTAGCATACTCCAAAAAAATATATACAGGCAACTTTATCCCAAATGGGAAAAATATCGAGACTATTGAAACACAATGGGCACAAACTCCACTAACCTTTCTTAACTGCATCTGTCATAGCATAAGCAGCTTCACCCTCCTGACCTGGAGAAGACACCGACTGATGTTGATACAATAGAATAGAATACTGATGCAAGCAAGCAAGCAATGGATGGTTCGACAAACCTTCAAGGTTGATGGGAACATATACAAATTTGAGGGGCCGACCCACATCCTCCTTTGTTAGCGTGTACTCCGTGCTATTTGATAGCACTAGAAGAAATTCACTGCATAAAATGAAATTATTTTGTCCATAATTACCACAGTGTATAGAAGAAACTTGCTGCACAAAAAAAAAGTATTGTCCAAATTACCACACTATAAAACTATTGACCGTTTGTTGTAGACTACAGCAATAGTTCATCCAATTGTCTAGTAGCTCTAGTTCAGGATATTCAGTTTATAATTGAGTTTTAGCAGGCCTGGAGTTAAGTTCAGTTACCAAAGCCCAAAATGATCCTTCTTAAAATGGCAGGAATTTATATTGCTGCCAGGAGCTATCCTGGTTAGGGATGCAAGTGGGTAGTCCCGCTACCCACATAAAAACCCACTTGCTAGTTCATTTCCCACATGGTAGTACAAAATTTAGAAGGAAAAATGAACTAGAAGTAAGATAAGCGGTCTGAAAAAACCCGCTTGCATCCCTAATCCTGGTGCAAGTTGTTAAGTCGGTATGGCCATCGAAGTTTGATCAAACTACAGTGCTTGAGGAATCTAGCCATCCACTTGGACTACAATTCTATAAATAAATCAGGAGTTATTCAAACATGGCAAGTGGATGTAAATAAGCCTTTTCTGGAGACAACATAAGTGATAGCTCCGATATCCTATAGGACTATCTAATATTTTAATATTTGGTTATGGAAGTGCACTGTAAGACCTATTACGAACTTATCATAGTGCTATCGCATAACAAACCAGATAAAACTTATTGAGTAACAGACTCAGAACAGCTAAGTTTGGCAAGTTCTACTGAACTAAGTACTTCACCTAGAATGGACAGGTAATGCATGGAACTATCAAAATATAATTGCTTCAAGGAGGACAATAAATGTATGGAGGATCAAACTTGAAGGGCAATCTGTACCCAAGATTAACGTTTGACCAAATTGTTTTTCTTACAACCCATTAAGAATTTAAGATCTACTGTTTGCATAGTAGTGTATGATAGAGAATAGATTAATCACGTGTTCAGAATTCACATTACTTGTATATCAGACCGAGAATGGTTTCAAACTTCTAATAACTGCAATGCTCACTTGCCCAGCTAGTAATGAAATGTTTAAACATACCATAAAGGTGTTTTATCAATACTCAAAGATGACAAACTAATGGCAGTATGGCTCATACGGTCATACCCATTTTCCTTCTCTCTAAACCAGAGGAATTTGCTTAATCCCTCTTTGCCACCAAAATACTTTCCATTCCCTTTGATTGTGTTATCTTCAACAATGTCTCCCACAACATGTACACTGCTGACTGATGGTGTGGCTGAAATGATGCCATAGGCAAACAATTATTGAGAATTTTGAATATTTCAAAAGAAAAAAAGAAACAACTTATGAACAGTTTTCTGGAATTTATTTCAAATGGACAATGTTCTTTTATTTAAACAGCTTGGGGATGAACCATCATTGGTTACTTTTTTTAATTGAAAGGCCATTACAAAAAACAATAGACCAGATGGTCTATATTCTATCTACAGGGTGGTGCAATCCCAGTATATGAATAAAAGTAATTTAAGACCAAAACTAATGGGCATTGGCAACCCTTTCACAAATATATCTGAACAGAAGCTAAGATAATTTGATGGGATGAAGTACTTTACCAGCCTTTACAAAATCTGTCATTGTACATTGGGGCTCTCCCTTAACACCATCTTCTGTAACAGGGGTGTACATAAATACCAAACTTGAATCGATATCATCTAGGGTTAGCTGATATTCCATCCTGTCAGCTCCATCTATTACAACAGCATTGCCGTTCCATCTTCTCCTTAACCAACTAGCCTCAAAAGAAGGTTTAACAAAATCAATGGTATTCACTAGATACAAAAATTAGCATAAAAGAAATTAATTCATCTGATAGAATGAATATTCATTTGCAAAATGAAACATGATGGAAGTTATTAGGATAAACAAACCTTGCAACACCTTTTCCTGGCATCCCACCACACCAGGCAATCTCAGGAACACCCCTGAGTACATTTCCTTCCACCAAATCACCATGGACCGTCAGATTGATGACCTTTGGACAACCAGTACCTGGTAAACAAAAACTGATCAAGGACTAAAGGATTTGGCTATATCATTCTAGTGCATAATTTAATTTAGGTAAATGGGTGAAATATCCATATATACTATAAAAAATAAATGTTGCGCTGTATCTATCACCTCCCCAGTCCCCAGCATAAAAGTAGGGCTAGAAAACATATGGGAAGGCAAATAAAGTTTCACTGAAAAGGCACCATAATTTTAGAATATATCTTTTATCCCTACCTACTGCTTGCAATGTAGGCATACATCAAACAACTAACTAGACAAAGATAAATCCGGCTTACAAAGTACTATTTATACTTTATATACAATCAGTTGTTCAATACCTGGAGAAACAGGTAAGGAAACAGCAAAGATGGGCGGGAATTCAGCATCATTCAATATTGGAGTGCATTCAACTTTCAGACATCTTCCAACATCTTCACGCTTTGGCCAGTATACCTTGATTTACAAATAACCAAAGTTTATAACTTGCAAAAGGATGTGGCAAAACTCATCAAATTATAACAGCAGGGACTTAAAAACTTGCAAGTGATGCAAACCACAAATTCAAGTAGTTCTAAGAAATAGATAGATAACTAACCAGGCAAAAGCTCTTTAAGTACAGTTAAAAGTGTGTTCAAGTAAGTCAAAGGAGTGTTCTACCTCACTTAATTCTTCAGGAAGAGGCACAAAATCAGTTGGTGTCTTGTCACCTATAAACCACTGATATTTGAGGACTAGTTCACCCTCATCACACTGATTTGTGAAGCTAAAATGGCAATGACAGGGATCTTCTTCAAATGGATGGTCAACATGAGCTTTCTTCACTATCAAATCTTGCGGCAACTTATTCTTCCATTGCTCAAGTAGGAAGGAAAATGTTGAATCTGTCCAAGCAAGTAGGACCATAAGTGTGCACTTAGAACTCAAATGGATACTCGAGAACCAGGAAACAAACAAATCATTCAACTTCACTTTAGTTCATGCGATCACTTTATGTTTGTATATGAGAAGAGAACTAAAAGAATCTAATACTGTTGAAGTAATACATCAGCAGATTCATTTACGAACATGTAATCAGTAGGAAATGCGTCAACAACAATAAAAGAAGTCAACACAAAATAGCAGTTTTTTTCTCTCCATTAAAACCATACCAGCAGCAAGTTCAGGAGAGCAAAATTCCCAACCATCACGAATGCAAATAGCTGTATGAGCAGGATATTGCTTCGCAACTTCAGCCTCACCGGGGTTCAGATCTGCAACAGGTTCCCACTTAAGAAATATCCAAAACCATAAAGTAATAAGATACTACATTCTGGTTGCATCAAACAATTCAGTATATTTATCTGACCAGACCTATTAATCAACAGTATCAACTCACATGATAGATTAATTTATCCAAAATAAAATCTAGGCATTATGATGGTGTAGATACTGTAAAGCTCCAGAATATGCGCTCCTGTTTCATATTCTCAATCAGGCCCGGCCCTGAGGGTGGAGCGGCCGCACTGAGCCCCCAAAATGTTGGAGCCCCCACCTACCCTCTAGTGATTACGGATGGGATTAGGCAGTTAGGATTAGAGCTGCCGCCGTGGACGTAGCTAGCAACCAATGTTCCCGATTCCACGATCAATCAACCACTACGCGAGTCATGTCCACTGAGACACCGTGTGCTGCCTCCACGAGTATGAGTATCGATCCGCCACAATCCATCCACCTATCGTTACTCCTCACTCGTAATCAACAAATTAAATTGGTATATGATCCATATCTGTTTGAATTTTCTGTTATCTGCTGCTATCCTGGCCGGTTTCTTGCCTCTTCTCTGTTGTGGGTTCCTGCTGAACTAATGTCTCATACATTAACATGCAATCTATTTACACGTTTGCAGAAGAAAGATTTGTTAGAACTAATCCATGCTTTTACTTTTTGTAATCTATGAGTTCGACCATAATATGCTAATATTTTCAATTTTTAGCTCTTTGATATCATGTCATCAATAAATTAAACGGTTGAATTTGACAACTTTATGCATTAAGAATTGCTAGATGAGATTGATATTGATACCATCATCAATTACTTTGTATCTAGAAAAGTCCAAAGAAATATTTAAGATAATTTTCATAAAGTTCTACATCTAAATATTGCTTTTGAATGCACTTTAAATATTTATTGGTAGCATTTTACATATACATGTATGTATTAATTCTTATTTACATATAACATTAAGGGCCCTTTTTTAGTTTCGCCCTAGGCCACCAAAACCTTGGGCCGGCCCTGTTCTCAATTCTTACTATATGTGCAGGTGAAGTATTTAAAGTGAACTCACTCATTTCTGAGCATTTGGAAAGTCATTCTAGTCCTATCAGAACCTTAATAGGTAAGCCGAAAGAAAGACCAGAATGCGGCTTGTCTATATCAAGTACCGGCGTTATTTTCATTTCCATCCCATTAATAGTCTGAAAGTAATCAGATTCGATGATATTTCAACAGCGATAAGCTTAAGATAAGCCATTGTGATGGATATTATTCTATACTACCATTTCAGCAAATCAAATAGTGATCAGCGATGCAATGAAAAGCATGTTAAACATACCCCGGTCATTGAACTTTTTCAAGGTAGGGCCTACAAGCAGAATAGAAGCAGCCTCCAAGTGTGGCATCTCAAGAAGTGGATTATCCTCAACACGTAAATGCTGCAGACATTTTAGTTTTGCCATCAGTGAGCAAATTGCGTTAACACTTCATGTGTCAATAGCCTTCATTAATTTAACATATCTCTTCAAATTCAAATATATCTATATGCCACAGTGGACTGGTAATAACTGATCATGGATGGTATGAATTGCCTGTTTCATGCATATAAGGTCTATTCTGTAACATCAGACATTGAGCAACGCAATTGATTATTACCAGCTTCAAACTTCCAATTACCAAAATACTTATTATTTGTACTGCACATCATCTATTGTTTGTTCATTATCTAGAAAAATAATCTATTGTTTGTTAAGCACCATCCATGAGATTCAAATGCTTTTAGAAATAGCATCGTTCAACAACATAAGAAACATAATGAGTAAAAGCAGACCTCCAGAGAAGGCAAATGCGGAAATCCCTTCAAAACTGATATTTTGTTTCTGCTGGCTGCTAGTACCTACACACACAAAAAAAAATGCAAAGCAAGTTAAGGGCTAACTGATATTTTGATTATGCTCAAGGCAGATACAACCAGCATACTCACTTGAAGTCGAGGCTGACTAGCCATACAGAGTGATTTCAACCTATTTTGAGCAACAGAGAGAAACTGGTGCAGCAAGAGAGATAAGAAAAATAGATTTAGCATTGTTGACATAAGTAAAGATCAACTGCTAAGACTAGTTTGGTAACATTAGCATACCTCCAAGTTAGGAAGCTCGGGAAGGGTAGCAAGGGATGTTATTTGATTTCCAGCGAGATAAAGTTGCTACACAGGTCAGAATACAAAAGATAGTTCATAAAAAAAACCTCCATGAGCATAGTCAATACTATGAGGAAAGCACAAACCTGGAGAAGTTTGCAATTCTCAAGGGGCTCAAACCCAGGGAGCTTAAATTCATTAAAACTCAAGTCAAGAACCTGCAAATATGAAGGAGGACAAAAGGCAGAAAAAACAAAATAAACACATAATCAACAGAGCTAGGCCACAAGAACAGGAAGTGCCAAAATGGAATACATCCCAATAAAAAGGAGAGAGGTGATACCTTAACCCCTTTGAGAATCTCAATACCCTCCAAACTTGATAGACGATTGTCCCTGAGATAAACAAACTACAGACAGAAACTATGGTAAGCACTTCAGCAGACATGTCATTCCCAATATTTCTTAATCATGGGCTATGCTGGATGTATATATCTTTCCCAAAATCTTAGGTGTTGCAACTTGCAAAAAAATTAACAGTGTCATGTGGCTTGAGTTATTGCAGAACTGCATAGATAAAAGGAGAACCTGACTGCACTTACTTCAAGTACAGGTGTTAATCTCAACTGCTTCAGAGTTCGTACCCTATGACCTCTTGAATCAAGTCTCTGCAGAAGCATGAAACTATATTGAATGGAAGAAAAACCACCACATGATGAAAGCATCAAGATCATCCACATAAATGAAGAACTTTTTCAACACTAACCACTTCATCACTAGCCTTCAAATCCACCTGGGGCAGCATCATAAACCGTGAATCACGGCTATCAGCAGTCGAGCTCTTCTTCCGAATAGGCATGGAAGAACCCTTGTCCATCGACGATGTCCGAGAACCCACTTTTTTCGTGACGCTGCTTGTCACTGAAGGTGACCGTGGTGAGTTGAGAGTAGCATTTGAGGCTGCTCTCCTGAAGCTGCTGCTAGCGCTACTGCTGGAGTTCTCTGTCAGTGATGGGACTTTCTTCAGAGTAGAAATTGGTGATGACTTAACAGCAGGCTTCTTCATCGCATCCACCTTGGCCCTCTCAGACTGCACAGATGACTTCTTTTCCAGTGATGATTTTGAGCTGACCATGGAGGCTGTCACTGGTTTACTCTTCTTCACCCCATCTGACAGAGAAGGACTAGCTTTCTTAGCAACAACTGAGCTCCCATTATCCTGTTGCTTCCCCGCACTTCCTGTGCTGCTTCTTCTCTGAACTGGAGCAGCATTCATAGACGAGGTAGACTTCGTCAACGATGACCTTGACATCCCCAACTCGGCTGAGGGAGCAACATCAGTCCGCTTCTTGATTGAAGAAGCTGTCCCCAATGCAAACCTGCCGGTGGGCACAGACAGCCGGGTCTTTGACGGTTTAGCCTCCGCCGGCTTTGAGGTCTCCGGTGGTGCTTCCATTCCTGACAACCACAATCAAAACCTCAAGCCGTACACCGCCAGTCTTTGCTTTCTAGTCAAACCAGGAACCTCTTGACGATTGCACACATGCCTGACCTGGATAGCCAGGTAAACAAACCAAATTATCAATGTAGCACTTACAAATATTTGGGAAATCACCAAAAGTTCGATGCAAAGGAAAAATTCTCAGAATTTGCAGCCTCATACGAAAACTGAGCAACCAACAACGCTTGTACAGAATTTTTGAATTGCTCGCAGAATTCGTCAACGCCTAGATAGGGAAGTACAACGCGAGGCGGTACCAAATCAGACGGAATTGCGGAAGCACGAAGCCGGTGGATATGGCCCGTACAAAAAAGCGAAGCATTAAAACTTGACAAAATAAGCACAAAAAATTTATTTCATCATAATTTTTTTTGTCAAATGTAGAAACAGAGCAGGAACCCATCGTTTTGGGTCGGAATTCAAAACCAAAATTCCAGCAAAGTCGTCGGTCAAACCCACAGGCAAACTCACCACGGATCAGAATTCATCACAGAGGATCAAAACCACACCCGAAAAATCCCCCAAAAATGCTCGTAAAACCCTAGCACCATCCAGCACATAAACCCCACCGCATTCCGCGAGAACCCACCGCCACCGCCACACTACGAGCACCGGAGAAATCCCACCCACACGCGCACAAATACACACACATACACCCTCTCCAAACTCGAATCGATCCGAAATGGAGTTCAAAACAAAATCCAGAACAAAAATGCCCAAAAAAAATGAAATCAACACATCGCGCAGCCACGGGGGGGCCGGCTCGCCTCCCATCTCCCTCACCTCCCCCCGCCGCGGCAGCCGGATCCGAGCCCCTCCGCCGCCTCCACCAATGCGGGCTACGAGCGCGCGCGAGGAGTGGAAGCCAACCAGACACTGGAGCAGAAGCAGCAGCAGCAGAAGAGGCAGAGAAGAAAGGGGGGAGAAACCGAAACGCGCACAAGTATCCGAGAGGCGGGGGGGCACTTGGTAAATTACCGGAATTCCTAGGGGCTTAGGTGTAAATTCGCCAAAGTTTCGCTCCCGCCCGCGCTTTTGCAGTTTCGGTTTTGGTCCAAACTCCAAGAAAACGAAATATCAGGGGTTTTTTTCGTTTAAGCCCTTGGTTTTTGTGGAAATGTGACGGGAAGGGCCGGGGGTCGGTGCGCAGAGGCAGCGCACACGTCGCCGGCGTGGAATCGCCGTGGGGCCCACCCACCCGGGGAGTTCGCTTCTACCGTTGTTTGTTTGTTTGTTTGGCTTGGTTTCGTGAGGGTAATCTCGAGATTAAGTGCCGTAATTAACGCTGATCGCACTAAACACAAAAGCTACGCTCGTACTACACACTAACGCACACGAGTGCAGCCTTCAATACACGCTTAAAAGAGATAAATGCCAAAATATCATACAAATTCGATGATAAAGAGGTGCATCGCGAGCACTGAGTTTATCGTGTTATAACTTTTACTACACATCTACTTTGAGCTACTTTAAAGGCAAACATAAGAGAGAAAATATACGAAGACAGTTGTGTTCTTTTAAAGTGTTTGGCAACCAGCAAGTGAAATAGAACGGTGAATTAGCGTATAAATTAATTAGGTATTAAAAAATTTAAAAATAAATTAATATGATTTTTAAAGTAACTTTATTTGCATAAAGTTTCTAGAAAAAAAAACACTCTTTAGTGGTATGAGAAGCGTGCACATGGAAAAAGAGAAAGAAAATGTTGGAAAAATGTAATACTGGCCGCAGCCTTGAACTAACTTTGAAGTTAATTAAGTCCTAAGTTAAAAACTAGTAAAACCTTGGCTCTAAATTCTAATGTGCAAGTCCACTGCTATGTACGTATGGACAAAACTTTAGGTTTGCAAACGGAATGCAACAAGCAGTGCAAACAAAATCGACCATTCCAGCTGATTGAACCCTCCTCGATTGCATCGAAGATTTTTGTTTCGAGACAGGAGGATGCATAACACATGGACAGATAGATATAGATAAATCTAGCAATTATTAGGGATGCAAGCAGGTAAACCTGCGAGTTCAAATAAATGATAATTCATAAGTTTTTGTGTTGTGGTCCAGTTTACCGCATATAGATATGCAAGTGGGTCAATCCATAAACCTATTTATAGGTCAAATTAATACTTTCTCCATTCCAAATTGACCTACATATAGTTTTTTTTTGAGGTTATTCCTAAATGGTCTACATATTTGTGTTCATCCATTAGGTCTATTCATTATTTGTGTATTAGAGTAAATGGACATTGACGCATGCATCTATGCACACAAGCATTTATAGCCCATATGTAATATCTTGATTTGCTATTGGCTATGAAATAGTGGGGATGGTGCATGCATTGAGTTTGTTGCTAGAGTAAATATAGTATAAGAGAGTTATTAGCTTTTCTTGGTATTGGTGTACCTTTGAAATATGTAGATCAATTTGAAATGAATGGAGTAGTTAACTAGCGGGTTACGTACTAATTTTACCTATAAGCAGGTTCACGGACAAGCCCGCTTGCACCCCTAGAAGTTACGTGAGAGTAATCAAATCACAAAAATTGGTTAATTACAGGTAGAAGTGGTAGGTGAGACAGACGAGCTAGCGTTGGAGCGATGGATAAGCTCGCCATCGCCAGCGACGTGCCGGCGACCGCTCCATCGAAAGCCAATCAAGGCACTAGTACTAACGAAACCTACCTCCCCTTCCTCTCGCTGACATGTGGGCCCGGTCCCACCTGTCATCCTGATGCGATCATCCTGGGCCCACCAGTAGCTAGGAGGCAAAGCCCGTGGGAAACGGGGCCGACACGGCGATGAACAGGGAGAAGATTAATTGTTGGGATGGCCTTGGATTAGGATAATTAAAAGGTTTGTGTGCTAAATAATGATGGGTTTTAATTTGTCCTTGATGGATCATGCACGGCCTTGAATGGATCGATCGATTGATGTGGGTAATTTTAATTAAGTGCAATAAATGACAATGATGATTAACTCGATCACCGTCGTCCTAGCTAAGCTTGTGTACTGGATATATAGCTCAGTGCCACCGTCTGATCACGGCATAATCGTGCGTGTGCAAACCATTAATAAATATAGTTGCACGGTTTTATGAACCATGCTACATCCGTTGCAAAATGCGTGCAGCCGTAGAAATCCGTGTCCAACGTTTCACCGTCTGTCTTATTTAAAAATTTATGAGAAAATTAGAATAAATTAGTCAAATATAAAGTACTATTCATGTTTTATCATCTAATAACAATAAAAATATTAATCGTAAAAAAATTATAAATAAGACGAACGGTCAAAAGTGAGATATGAACAGTGTAAAACTGCACTTATTTTGAGACGGAGGGAGTAGATTGGTTAAGCACGCTAAATTATTATGCAGTACGTGCATTCTTCAGATATCATCAGATGTGCCTATAGATTTATTTATGTTGATTAGGGCTTTATTAGGAGCTTGTTTAATTTTATTGACACAAATTTAATCATCAAGACAATTATTCTCCAAATTCCAGACTAGCTACACTAATCCAATTAAGCTATAATGCCTATATGTAACTTAATTACCCCCCAAACAAATATACACTGCTACATTTCTCTTGTCCTTATGGTATTTATTTAAGTACTATTCATACTATGCTCAAAGAGGAACCTAAAATTATACTCCCTCGGTTTTAAAACGTTTGACGCCGTTGACTTTTTATCACATGTTTGACCGTTTATCTTATTAAAAAAATTAAGTAATTATTAATTCTTTTCCTATCATTTAATTCATTGTTAAATATATTTTTATGTAGGCATATAATTTTACATATCTCATAAAAGTTTTTGAATAAAATGAACGGACAAACATATACTAAAAAGTAAACGGTGTCAAACATTTCGAAACGGAGGGAGTACAACTCAGTATTTACTCTTCATGCATGAATCCAGTGTAGTACCACTGTACCATGTCAGATAGTACTAGACAAAGTATCATGCTGCTGTACATATTGCATTATTAATTTGTCCCTTGCTACTGGTGCACAATAACTGTATAAGCATTTGCAGGTGACTAGCTTTAGCTATAGCTGCATGATATCGATGCCTCTACTCTTCTCCAATATGAGTAGGAGTACGTGACAAGACCAGCATCCTTGTCACGATGTAGAGGCTTCAACAATTCAAGAGACACACCTCTTAAAGAGCTTATTCTATCAGCTATAGCCCTCGGATTGGGAGATGCAACACTGATATTTGTATACATGTCCATATATGCATACTAGTGCATATCTTGGACCCTCGCGTTGTAGTGGGACTTTAGAACTTCTCTACAGAAAAAAGCATGGGTCTAACTCAACACTTCAATCTCATAATGATTGGCGTAGTTTGATGACATGGCTAAACATAAGAGTTCTTTTACGGCAATTAATGATATAGCAGTACTGGTTGGGTAGTCGTGTTTTTCAGTCTACTTTATCTACTTCAAATCTTTTGATTTTTACACGCTTCCCAAAAAACTAAACGGTATGTTTTTATAAAAGAATACAAGAAAATTACTTAAAAAAATCATATTAATATATTTTAAGTTTATTTTAGTTAATACTTAATTAATCATATATTAATACGTGCTTCGTTTTGTATACCGGAGAGGAGACCAACCCCTCCTTCTAAACACAACTTTAATATGTAACTATATGGAAATAGAAATAGTGGGTGTGCACATACATATAAATAAGTTTAGCTAGCAGTGTTCATGGCTGTCTGAAGAATGCATGTGTAAAGTTAAGTGTAACATATGCAAGAGTGGCTATAGCTACCTAATTAAGTGCAGGAATCCACTGATCAGTCAGAAAGTTCACCTACAAAACTGTCATGTATACCCAGCACACATAAAGATAAAAAGGGGCTGCCAAATCAAAGGAGGAAAAGGAGTTAAGTCAAATAAATCTACTCCTAAGATTTCCCTTTAAGAAAGAATCAGGATGGCTCAGAAGCAAAGAGAGCTAGACAAAAGTGAAGAGGAAGCTAGAAACATAAAGAACAGATAATTAAACTATCTGTCTGATTAACTATTCCATCAACAAAAGCTAATTGCAAAGTTGTGATGCAAAAGGGTGGTAGGATGCTAGTAACCATCAACACAACGCATCAATTAGTCTCTTCTTAGGGCGAAAAGATATGGTTGCTCTCTCCTGATACATGCTTATGAATGGGCCACACGAGCTAGACGTTGCAGCAACCATCAAGCAGATATATATACAAGTCTCCATAGCTAATTAAATTAATCCATGCATTTTCTAGTGTACAACTTGCAAGATTTTCTTTGGGTATTATGGGTGGCCAGCTCATGAGTCATGACCACTAATACACAAACATTATATATGTAATATTAGTATATTACTAATCATACTAGTATCTGGTAGAGCAAAGTATGTTGCAACTTAAATTAGACCTCGATTAGTCTAGCTTTCGTTTGTTTTTAGTTACAAGTTCGTACGGATTAAAGTGGTTAGCCAACTTGTGGCACGATGAGAAGACGAGACCAATCAATGATGACAGTTGAGAAAAGATCAAATTAAGAGGTTGTTGCATATGTACAAACATGCATGCATGGTACTAGTATATACGTGTAGTCCGTTCCAAAAAGAAGATAAGAAAGAACAAAGATCTTTTTCTTTCTTTCTTTCTTTCTTTCTTTCTTTCTTTCTTTCTTTCTTTCTTTCTTTTTGTTTTGTTTTTGCTAGAAGAGAAAGAACAAAGTTGACAACGCATAAGAAGAAAAGAGCAATTGAATCCGATTCGGCATTATGTTGGTGTGAATGTGTGATCCAAGATGGTGGTTTCTTTTAATTTGATTATCTAAATTGAATGGTCAGGTATGTATCGACTGCTTAATCAAGATAGATTGGGATGATTTCTGCTCAGAGGGGAAAAAAGAAAGAAAGA